TTATGTGTTTGTTACATGTTTGTTATGTGTTTGTTACGTGTTTGTTACATGTTTGTTGTGTGTTTATTATGTGTTTTTCACATGTTTGTTACATGTTACGTGTTACATGTTTATGTGTTTGTTACATGTTTGTTATGTGTTTGTTACATGTTTGTTTGTTACATGTTTGTTACATTTTTGTTACATGTTTTTTTACAGGTTTGTTACCTGTTTTTTGTGTTTGTTATGTGTTTTTTACATATCTATTATGTGTTTGTTACATGTTTATGTGTTTGTTTCATGTTATGTTTGTTATGTGTACGTTACATGTTTATGTTTGTTATGTTTGTTACATGTTTGTTATGTGTCTGTTACATGTTTGTTATGTGTCTGTTTCATGTTTGTTATGTTTGTTATGTGTTTGTTACATGTTTTTATGTGATTGTAACATGTTTATGTGTTTGTTACATGTTTATGTGTTTGTTACATGTTTGTGTTTGTTACATGTTTGTGTTTGTTACATTTTGTTACAGGTTTGTAACCTGTTTTTTATGTTTGTTATGTGTTTGTTGTGTTTGTTATGTGTTTGTTACATGTTTGTTATGTGTTTGTTACATGTTTGTTATGTGTTTGTTACATGTTTGTTATGTGTTTGGTACATGCTTGTTATGTGTTTGGTACATGCTTGTTACGTGTTTGTTGTGTTTTCCTATGTGTTTGTGTTTGTTACATGTTTATGTGTTTCATGTTTTCTACATGTTTGTTACAAATTTGTTATGTGATTTTTACATTTGTTACATGTTTGATACATATTTGTTTTGTGTTTGTTACATGTTTGATACATGTTTGATGTTTGTTATGTTTGTTATGTGTTTGTTACATTTTTTACATGTTTATGTGTTTGATGTTTTCTACATGTTTGTTACATATTTGTTGTGTGATTCTTACATTTTTTGTTACATGTTTGATACATGTTTGTTACGTGTTTTACACATTTGTTATGTTTGTTATGTGTTTTTATGTTTGTTTCAAATTTGTCATGTGTTTGTTATTTTTTGTTACATGTTTGATACATGTTTGATGATTGGTACATGTTTGATGTTTGTTGCATGTTTGTTACGTGTTTGTTACATTTTCATTACATGTTTGATACATGTTTGTTATTTGTTACATGTTTGAAACATGTTATGTTTGGTACATGTTTGATGTTTGGTACGTTTGATGTTTGGTACGTTTGATATTTGATACATGTTTGTTATGTGTTACATGTTTGAAACATATTATGTTTGATACATGTTTGATGTTTGGTACATGTTTGCTGCTTTTTCCATGTTTATCTTTAGGTCTGCTGGAACAAGTCATATTTCAGTCAAGCATGATCAAACATAGCTGTTAGAGGGAATAATCTGCAGCCTGATGTGTCTGATCAGCTGTCTCCAGGTGTTTCCAGGTGTTGAAGCAGCACTGTTTGTTTCTCCTCCTGTCAGAGATGCTGTCCTTGGTCTCCCGCTCATTTTGCCTCATGGTCTCTGGTTGCCAAGGAAGTCGGCGCTCCATAGCAACCGTCATCTCTGGAAACAAGACATCAAAGTAAGAGTCTGAGGCAGCTCTGGAGTTTAATGACCCAAAGTTTGGTTCTTCAGGAGAAAAACCTTCAGTTTACCATCTGAACGAACTGACCTCGTTGGTCCGGTCGGAGCACTGATCCTGGTTCTGTGTGCAGGTTGGTGAGGGACAGGCTGAGGAATGATGTGGAGAAGATGAAGGTCCAGTTCTCAGGGTTCAGACCCAGTCTGGTGGTTCTACAGGTGGGTCACAGGAATCAGAACCTGCAGGTCACAGTTCTGTTACTGGCTCAGATCAAACAGGAAGCTGAGCTCTGCGGGTGTCGGAACTGTTCTGAACCTTCCTGTAAACCAGCAGCTGCTCCCCTACTCAGACCTGAACCGGGTCAGACCAGCCAGAACCTGCTGAGCTACCACAGTCAGGCCTTCAGTGGGTCAGGTTCATCATTAACCTGCTGACTCCCAGCTGCACCTGCAGCGCCCCCTGCTGCTGAGTTCTGCTTACTGCTCCTGTCAGAACCACGGCTGTCCTGATGATGACAGGTGTGTGTGTGTGTGTGTGTGTGTGTGTGTGTGTGTGTGTGTGTGTGTGTGTGTGTGNGTGTGTGTGTGTGTGTGTGTGTGTGTGTGTGTGTGTGTGTGTGTGTGTGTTTCAGGTAGGAGACAGAGACGACTCCAACCTTTACATCAGCACCAAGCTGAAGGCTGCAGCCGAGGTGAGAAACAAACTTCATGTCTGAAGATCAGATCTTTAACTTTTAGCAGTTAGTGCGGGGAAATAAATTTATATTTGACATTTTTACAAGTTTTTTTTTCCTTTAACCACTAGAGGGCGCTCAGGCACTGTGTGCTTGTAACACAAACTGTCTGAGAGCTTCAAACCACCCAGAGATTCTGCAGACAGACTCTGGAGATCTGAATGGAAAAACTAAATAAAATACAAAGTCAGACAAACTAAAACCAACAGTTCAAAAAATAAGAGAAATCACCTGAATGTTACAACAATAAGGCTACATTTAGAGAACTGTCTGAGGTGGATAATAAACAATAAAAATATATGAAACAGTATATTTTACACACAATAAAACCAAAACTAAAATAAATTAAATACTCAGATTTGTGACATCTGATGTTTCAAATAATATAAACAAACACCAGAAGAAAACAGACACAAACATGGAGTTAAGTTAATTTTTTTAAATTATAATGTGTCTGAGCGCTATGGAAGCCTGTTACTGCCACTTTGAATAAAAAATTTATAAATATTGTGACAGAGATTTAAATCATTACATGGAGATAATAAGTAATATGAAATAACATCTCATAATTATGTTCAGTTGCTTTTTTTGTTTGTTTTTTTCCTTAACATGGCATGAATAGTTTTCCATATGGGTCACAACAACTATCTATGACCAGGAAAACACAGTAAATAATTAAGACAAAATGACAGTTTAAGCAAAGGGCTGAATGAGACAAACATAAACACTGAGAACTAAAGAAGAAACTGTTTAAAACACAGGAAAAGTGGCCTGAAGTGAAAACAAGACAAGGTAAAAAATGTAAAAATCAGCAATAAAATGATGGAAACAGACAAAAATATCTCAAAGATTCACCAACAGAGAAACTCTTTGTTTGCTGCAGCCTGAGAGACATTTCTTGCTTATTTCTGCAGATTGGAATCGATGCTAAACACGTTCGCCTGCCGAGCTCTGCCACGCAGGCAGAGGTGAGAAACGCCGTCGTCCTCTCTGACCTCCAGTCGCAGCAGCGCTCTGACAACTTCCTGTTTCCTGTGGTCCTGCAGGTGCTGCAGAGCGTCCTGTCGGTCAACGAGAACCCGTCGGTCCACGGTCTGATCGTGCAGCTGCCTCTGGACTCCGTGAACCGCATCGACACGGAGCTCGTCACCAACGCCGTCTCTCCTGATAAAGACGTGGACGGGTCAGTGAGACGAGGACCTCCCTCATCCTCATCTTCATCAGCAACTTTGAATCAAACTGAGGTCCAATCTCATTTCCTGTCACCCCCTAAACCTGAATTTTAATAACTCACTGGATCTGTTTGAACATGTCCCCACATTTTAATGAAACGGATCAGACCTGTTGAACCTTAAACGTTTGTAACAGCAGCACCAGATAACCTCAATATTTCACTCTTTAAATACACAAAATATCAGAAATTCTTTGTCATTTTCAACAAAACATCAAATAAAGACAAACTGATTGGCAGGAGGAAGGGTTATAATGGGATGAGCTGATATTGTATCTTTACTTGAGTTTCACTTTAATAATTACCTGAATTTAATTTAATCCTGTGTGTTTGTGTGAACAGTCTGAGCTGCATTAATGCAGGAAAGTTGTCTCGAGGTGATCTGAAAGACTGTTTCATCCCCTGCACCCCCAACGGCTGCATGGAGCTCATCAGACAGACAGGTGACGCACTGAAAACACAGAAAACATCAGAAATGTCACTGTATTTTATTTATATTGACATAAAACAGCTTTTCTTCAAAACAACATTTAATAAAGCTTTGAATTAATATATTCTGACCCTGTCAAAGAGAGATCGATCAAAAACCTGTTTTTGATGAACACATGTTCTGGATGAACTTCCTGTTCCTGTGCAGGTGTGTCTGTGGCAGGGAAGCACGCCGTCGTTATCGGTCGCAGTAAAATCGTAGGCGCTCCGATGCACGACCTGCTGCTGTGGAACCACGCCACTGTGACCACCTGTCACTCAAAGACCCCGGACCTACCTGAGCAGGTGATCACACAGAACCACACCTGGATTACAGGTGAAAACATCACTCAGGTTTTTGAACAGTGATGATGCGTTTCCTGTTTATGACGATGCTTTTCCTGTTTATGACAATGTGTTTCCTGTTTATGACGATGTGTTTCCTGTTTATGACGATGTGTTTCCTGTTTATGATGATGTGTTTCCTGTTCCTGATGATGCGTTTCCTGTTTATGATGATGTGTTTCCTGGTTACAATGATGCGTTTCCTGTTTATGACGATGTGTTTCCTGTTAATGATTTTGCGTTTCCTGTTTACTATGATGTATTTCCTGTTTACAACGATGTATTTCCTGTCTATGATGCATTTCCTCTTCCTGATGATTCATTTCCGGTTTATGATAATGTATTTCCTGTTTACAGCGATATATTTCCTGTCTATGATGCATTTCCTCTTCCTGATTACGCTTTTCCTCTTTCCGATGATGTATTTCCTGTTTACAATGACACATTTCCTGTCTATGATGCATTTCCTCTTCCTGATGAAGTGTTTCCTATTTCCGGTGATGTATTTCCTGTTTACAATGATGTATTTCCTGTTTACAATGATGTATTTCCTGTTTATAATGATGTATTTCCTGTCTGTGATGCATTTCCTCTTCTTGATGATGTGGTTCCTGTTCATGATTATGCATTTCCTATTTACAATTATGCATTTCCTGTTCACAATAATGCATTTCCTGTTTACGATGATGTATTTCCTGTTTACAATCATATATTTCCTGTCTATGATGCATTTCCTCTTCCTGATGATGTGTTTCCTGTTTACGATGATGCATTTCCTGTTTACGATGATGTATTTCCTCTCTTTGATGCATTTTGTCTTCCTGATGATGGGTTTCCTGTTTATAATTATGTGTTTCCTGTTCTTGATGATGCATTTCCTGTGGGCAGGTGTCCCGGGCCGACATCCTGGTGGTGGGGGCGGGCAGGGCGGAGATGGTGCGAGGGGAGTGGGTGAAGCAGGGCGCCGTGGTCATCGACTGTGGAATCAATCATGTTCCAGGTCCGACCCGTCAATCATTCAACTCGCCCCTCTGTGGTGTCCCTACGTGACCTCTGACCTCTTCCAGATGAGACCAGGGCGAGCGGCAAACGGGTGGTCGGAGACGTTCACTACGCCTCGGCCAATCAGAGAGCAGGATTCATCACACCCGTTCCAGGAGGGGTGGGGCCAATGACAGTGGCCATGCTGATGGAGGTTAATATGTTGAAGTATTTAGTTTTATTTCAGTTATTTAAACATGAAATTTTAGCTCTAAACCTGTGTAAACATGAAGACTGTTTTAAACTTAAATTATTTAACTGATTTTTACGGAAGCTGAGAGCCGACATTTTCCACAGTTTTTTTTCCATGGTTTTCTCGTGAAATAATGAGTGTTTTCTCGAGATAACAAGGTAAATATGTCGTTATCATGAAATAATGAGGAGCATTTTCTCGAGATAATGACTTCCTGAAGGTTTTCTTGAGATAACGACCAGCTGAGTGGACCAGGCTGTCTTCATGGTTACCAAATGATGCACAAGAGGAAAACAATAACTTGTTATCATTTTTTTCCTCATCTTCCCTTGTCTGGTTTTTAGTTTTTCTGTTAAAGGTAGCACAACTGTGTTTGCTGCATGACCAGTTTCACCAGTTCCCCCATGTTTGTCAGATTGTGTCTTCTTGAATGGGTGTGTCTTAACTGCCCCCTCCCCCCTTCCCTGATTGTACAGCACCTTGTGAATATATTTCTGTGAAAGGCGCTATATCAATAAAAACTTACTTACTTACTTACTTACTTACTGACTTACTTAATTACTTACTTAATTACTTACTTACCACGAGAAAACCATGGGGGAAAAAGTATCTGCGGGAAATGTCAGCTCTCAGCTTCCGCAGATTTTAAATTATTTACATAATTCAAAATCAGGAAGAAAATGAAACTTCAGTTTGATTCTTTTTGTTTTTAGTTCTGTTTATTAATAAGAAAACAGAAAGTTATTTAGTAGCTCAACTTAATCCAGACTCACATTCAAATCCAAATATAAATAAAATGCTCCAATTCAAAGTAATCCATTCAAGTCTTATACTTCGAAATAGATAAATATTTTACATGTTACTGAAAATTAAAACAGTTTTTGTACCAATACAATTATTATTATTATTATTATTATTATTATTATTATTATTATTATTATTGTTGTTGTTGTTATTATTGTTATTATTAACATCCAATATAGTTAGTTGCTAAGCTTTCTGACATGTTCTTCATGTTCCAGAACACGGTGCAGAGCGCTCACCGCTTCATTCTGAGGCACCAGGCAGACAGGTGAAACACAGGTGAGACTTTAAAGGGATCCACAAATAGTTGTAACATTAAACTTTATTTAATAAACGTTTATTTTAACTGTAAAATAAAGACTGTAAAAATACTGTAGGATGTTTAGTTTTGTAAAAAATTTTTAAAGTATTTTAACACGGACAGAGCCATTTTATTTACACGCAAAGCATTCTGGGTAAATGATGACGTGGATAGGTCCTCGGTGCGAGGCTGCTAGCGAGCTATATCCACCCTGAAGGTTAATCTTGGACAATATCTGATAATCGACTCTTTTAAATGAAACCAGAGAGCGTTGACAGAGAGGAGAAGGTAGAAATGACTCAGCCTGGAACTGAAAATATGGATGGAGGACAACAGAGCTGCTTCAGCCTGTTAGCCTTCTCGCTATCCCTCACGCTATATTTCCTTATGTGTATTAGCTTGGTGCTAGCGCGACAAACAAGCTAAACTGAGGTCCTCCATCCATATTTTCAGTTACAGCTGAGTCATTTTTGTGTTCTCCTCTCTGTCATGTGGATGGAGGACCTCAGTGACGAGAGGAGAATGTGTAGCACTGAGCTAATACATATATATGGTGATAGCATCGGGGCTAACGCTAAAGCTAACAGGCTAAGCTGAGGTTCTTCTTCCATGAAGCAGCTCTGTTGTCCTCCATCCATATTTTCAGTTCCAGGCTGAGTCATTTCTACCTTCTCCTCTCTGTCAACGCTCTCTGGTTTCATTTAAAAGAGTCGATCATCAGATATTGTCCAAGATTAACCTTCAGGGTGGATATAGCTCGCTAGCAGCCTCGTGCCGATGACCTAGTTGATGTCATCATTTACCCAGAATGCTTTGCGTGTAAAGAAAATGGCTCCGTCCGTGCTAAAATATATTTATAAACTTTTAGTTTAAAAATTATAAAAACTGAACATCCTACAGTATTTTTACAGTCTTTATTTTACAGTTAAAATATATGTTTATTAAATAAAGTCTAATGTTACAACTATTCAGGGATCCCTTTAAGACACTCTTTATTAAAAAAGAGTCAGTATGCAGTTTTATTTTAATATAATAAAACGAACTAAATGTTTGTTTGTTTGTTTACAGGTAAACATGAAGGTCCAGCTCATAAACATCTTCAGGTTTTGAACAAACACTTCCTGTTTCAGAAGCTGCAGCTCCGTATTTAACTTCCTGATTTTATTTGACTGTTTTTCTTTGTGTTTTTTTTTTATCTGAAGGTTCAGAATAATTATTTTAAAAAAGAACATTTATTCAAAAAGCTTCACAGAAACCACAGATTCACTCTGTAAACATCTGTACTGTAAATAAAACAACAACAAAGACTCACAGTTCACCTGAAAACCTGGAATTCTGTGACAGGAAGCAGCTTTGGATCAAATGATTTAAAACCAAAATTTAATTTAAAGATGTTCAATTTAAATCCTGAATGTTTTAATTTATTCCCTGTTTTTGACCCTTTATTCAACATAATTTAGTTTTATTTTATTTTTTACATTTAAATCCTGGTTCTCATCAGATAATATTAGTATGAAGTTTGAACAGTTTGAACCCACAGATGATTGACAGCTGTCAGATTAGATAAAATGTTCATTAATCTGATTGATGGCGGAGCGTCAGCGAGGCAGACGTGTGTTTCTGGATGAAGATTAAAATCTGTTTCTTCACGATGTTGGAGTTTGTTTGTTTGTTTGTTTGTTTGTTTGTTTTTCCTCTGAAGCAGAGGTTTCAAAGTCTGGTCAGCATCCAGGAGAAGCTTTATTCTGAAAAACCAAGAGACGAGCTTTATTCTGAAAGGTTTTTTATTGCTTCATCACAAACGGTTTCGTTGTTTAAGAATAAATTCTAAAACCACAAACACACCAAATAAGATTATTCTCAAACTAAAAGCTTCTAATTAAACATCTGGATCTGATGTTCTTCCTGAGGATGAGGGAAGAACTTGGACCTCAGAATCAGGTCCTGATGGAGAGGAAGGACATAACTACAAGAAGTGCTTTTATTTTGAAAATTAAAAACCTTTTCCAGACATGACAGGAAGCTGCTTAAAACCTAAACATTCTGGGTTTTTTTTAATGATTTTATTAAATTGAAAAGAAAAATAAATGATTTTTTTTTATCGGAACAAGTTGAGGAAAATACAAATTGAATTGTGCAGAACCAGAACCAGAACCGGTCCAGGTTCCTACAGGATTATGACCCAGAAGATCTCTGTGTTTCCTGTCAATCAGAAGAACTCGTTAAACTCAGGTTACTACAAATTATTTCACTTTTTTTTCCTTTATTGGACCAGAACCAGAGTTTAGTTTTACAGAGCAGCTGATTGGACCCGGTACCAGACCGTATCCTGGGTTCTGAGGTTTAAAATCTGACGTTTAATAAACTGGAAACAGGAAGTGCCCCGCCTGGCTCCGCCCTCCTCAGAGCCTGGTCCAGGTCTCGGTCCTGGTTCTGGTTCTGGTTCTGCTGCTCTCTGCTCAGCTGGTCCACAGCGGCCCTCAGGGCGGTCCGGACCAGCAGGCGGGCCGTCTGAAGCAGCTGCAGCTCCATGTGGTCAGAGGAGAACAGAAGGTGGAGGTGGTTCTCTGAGGGGGACCCACTGTCCCAGTCCTCCTCCTGGATGAAGTCCTGAGGGGGACAGACCTGGATCCGGATGGCGGGTCCGTTGATGGAAGGGTTACAGGACTGGGAAGCTCTGGTCTCCTCATGGAGTGGATCATGGAGGTCCACAAAGACCTCATCGTCCTCTAAAGACACGACCTCCACAGGGACCTGGTTTGTCTCAACACTTTGGTCCTGGTCTGGTTCCGTGTTTGTCAGGACCTCTGAGGTTTCTGTCGGTGGTTCTGGACCTTCTGCTGCCTGACCCTGGACCACCAGAGTCTCTGGACTCTCAGCAGTCTCTGCGTCCGGGTCCTCCTCCACCTTAGTGTCCTCCGTGTCTCCAGGCCTGGGCCGTCTCTTCTGTCCCCAGATGAAGAACCTCTGCAGTTTCTTCTGGAAGCTCTTTGGAGACCCTCGGTTCTGACCCCGAGCTCGCTGGACCTCTGGAGTTCGAAGTCTTCTGAGGACCCGGGTCATCCTGAACCTCTTGTCTCCTCTGTCCTTCAGAGGGACGTCCTCGGGTCTCGGTGTCCCCACCTCCGGCGGGTTCTCCAAACTCTTCCTGATGCAGAGAACCGCTGAGGAGAACCTGCTCCAGCACCTGGCTCTCCGTCTGTTCCTGTGCCTCCTGCGGCTCAGCTCGTCTTCACTTTCGTGGTTCTCCTCTGGTCCGGTCTCTGACGGGTCCTCCCTGGAGCTCCTGGTTCCGGTTCCCAGCAGGAAGTTGGACCGACCTGTCCTCTTCGAGCTCTCTGCTTTCTGGATGTCTTCTCCGTCCTCCATCATGGTCCCCGGGTCCTGGTCCAGGTGTTTGTCCTCTGAGGACAGAAGGTTCTGATGATGAGACGGGACCTGCAGGACCAGAACCAGACCACAGAATCAGCAGCTGCAGCTGGAAGCTGTGATGTAACCACTTCCTGTTCTGCTGGACAGAAACCAGTTTGGACAAAAAAAGAGGAGAAAAGACTGAAAAAAATCCAGGATCAGATGTTCAGATGTTTATATTTTACTTCAACTAAAACATTTTAATGGTTTAACTAAAAAAACTGAAACAAAACGAGAAGATTTTTAATTTTCTGGCAGCCGGAGGAGGTTTCGTTTTTCAGGTTTTTATTATTTTTGGACCATAAATAGATGAAAGCGTTCAGTTTGTTCAGAACATTTCTGCTCTGACTCTCCAGGACTCAGCTGCCCGTCAAACTTTACTTCCAGCCTCTCCAGGTGATGTTGCAGCGATGACATCACCAGACATGCACGATGATGTCATCAGGCAGGTCATCCGACCTGGTGGAGAATAAACCGGAGAGACTCACCTGCTGTGTGTGTCCGGCTGCTCCGACGGGTTTCTCTGAAAGACGCCGGGAAGCATCGAGCTCGTCGCTCCCCGCTCTGCTGCTGCGCCGCATCTGTTTCCATGGCAACTGCACTGATTGGCGTGTTGTTCCTCAGAAACTGTTTCCTCAATAAGGAGGTGTGTGTTTGTGTGTGTGTGTTTGGGGGGGGGGGGGGGGGGGGGGG